TCTCAGAAAAAAAAAAAAAATAGGATCAATATTACCAATACAAACCCACGTACAAAAGCAAATGTGATAGCCAGCATGTAGGCAATGGTCCTTCCAGATGCTCCCTGTCTCACAGAGAGTGACTAAGCCCACTCCAAGGATACTTCGAGACTGAACAGGGAATGTGTATCCAGATGCCAGCCCAGAAGGCCATGGATGGTGCCGCCAGCCTGGGCCCTCACTGGGAGTCCCCATTTTCTCAGATTAGAAAGGGAAGTGATCCAAAAAGCCAGCTCTAGTCTGAATTACTTTGGCCCGATGCTATGTGGCCACAGAAAAAAACCTGAACACCAGCAAAGCTCCCTTCAACTTCTCCATCCCCTAATTCCACGGGACCCAAGGCTGCCAAACTTCCATATAAAAATCAAGCCTCTAAAAGATCAATTAGAGCAGATTAAGTACTCTGGACGGTGGTTCAAGTGCAATTGTGCCTGGTGTGTATCCTGATTAAGGAAGTCTACACTTAGCCAAGCCCTAAGTGATTATGGAGGATGGAAACATTAAGTTAGAACCACGGTTTTCCTCTGACCCTAACGTCTAAATGTCAGAGGAAAACATAAAATAAATAACATGGGTTTACATAGAAGGAGGATGCATACTCATATTCCGAAGAAAACTTCCCCTATGCACTAGCGATTTCCATGCCAGGAAGAACAATATCTGTGCTAGCCTACTTGGCTCTCCGCATCCCAACTGTCTTTCTGATAATCGGTAAACTTGCTTTGCAGAACAAAATGCCAAAAAGGAAACACTATGTTCTCATCATCTCCCTATTAAAAAAAAAAAAATAGATCTTTTTTATACCTAGCTGACTAACCTAAGAAGTCAAAACTCTCCTTAAGGGGGGTGTCTAGTCTCACCGCCCCTGGTTTCTAAGTAGAGACAGTGACACCCAGGCTTCTACATCTCATAAGTAATGGTGACTGCCCGAGCCTCCTTCAAATAAGATCACGCTTTCTCATTTCTTCTGTGCTGCTCCAGGAGCCCTGGGCAGGCCAGCTCTTCCCTGGATCTGGGTTCACCTACACCACACCTATGTAATTTTTATTAAAAGGCGTATAAAACTCCAAGATTGGCATCTTCACAGAGATGGCAGGTGTCATGTAGGTGGTTTTGTTCTCAGAAGCAAAACCAACCTATTTTTGACGATCATGAATGTATAATCATTTTTATTTCTGAAATAGCAGAGGAGTTCCTTCATATTATATAGCCAAAGCAGCACAGATGAAAGAATAAAGTATACAAAATAGCATATATAATGATCCATGGTATATTACAGAAGAGCATGTAGATTATAATGCATGCGCGCGCAAACACACACATGGAGAGAGTTCAATCCAGAAATGAATGTTGAGGGAAGCATGATGTGGTTTTAAAACAAAGTCATTTAACATCAAATCTGGGTTTGAACTCTTCCTCCTACCCAAGCTCTAAGCCCCAGGCTCATTTTTTATAAAATAGAAACAACCATAAGCATAGCATAGGACTGTCATAAAGAGTAAATAAGATAGAATATACAATAACACTGAACACAGTGCCTGGTACACAGAGGATGATAAGCATCAGTTACCTCTTCTTCCTCTCCCCTGTGTGCCTTTAAAAGATTTTTAAAATATATTTTTATTTATTTCAGAGAAGGAAGAAGGAGAGAGAGAGAGAGAGAGAAGCCTCAATGATGAAAATCATAGATTGGCTGCCTCCTGCATACACCCTCCTGAGGATCAAGCCCACAACCCTCAGCATGTGTCCTAACCAGGAATTCATCCATGACCCCCTGGTTCAAAGGTCGACACTCAACCACTGAACCACACTGGCTAAGGCTAAAAAATTATTTTTAATATTACTGACAGAAAATGGGAATGCTTAGAGTGGTTTTTTTAAAAAACCCTACACATATGTATCTGTTGCAGCACCATAATTTGCAAAGAAAAAGGAAGTAGTAATTTTAAGAAAAAAAAGCACAAGCTCACTTGCACTGCCTTCTAAACCTTCAGCTTTACAGTCTACAGAGACTATTTGCTCCAGGGGAGCAGAATCTGAAATAAAGGAAAAATTCTCATGGGAAAAATGGTTCCTAAAAAAGAAAAAAGCCAAGAAAGAAAAGATAATGAGGGAAAATCGAGGGGTGTGTGTAAAGGGGTTTATTTTACTTAACAAAGTAAAAGTCAAGCAAAATGAATAATCTGCCTCCAGAAACGTTTATTTAAAGGCTCTTTGTAAAGGGCTCCGGTTCCTAAAAAGACAGGAGTCACTGCATATGCCCACCCACTCCTCATTTATTTTTAAACCCCAGATTATATGTTTCTTAGCAACAGAAGGAGCAGACGAGACCCCCCCTACCCACATGCACATGCACACCCTCTCCCAAAGCCCCCTTCTTTCTTATCAGTGCCATTCCACAAACACCCATGTTCTCCAGAAAATAGGTTTGAGCTACCTGCACGGCTCCTCTTCCCCACCTTAAATGATCCCCCTTTTACAAGCAGCCATACTTTGCACTCTCACTGAACCCTTTGGCTCCAACTTCATTCTGTGAGGTCCTGCTAACCCCCTCCATTTTCTCCCACCAGGCGCTGTCCTCAGGTGCCCCAGAAGGGAGGTGGCAGTCCTCCCTGAGGAGCCAAAGCCCAACTCCAGCCGGAGCTGCTCTCCCTTACAGACCAGTCATTACCTCACCGGCGAAATAGTCCCACACGGCCACCTCTGACACCTGCACAGTGGCTGCCGTAGTAAGTGGGCAGGCCACGGACCCTGACTCTAAAAATAGTGACAATCATGGAAATGGGACACGTTCCAGGTTACAAACATGTGCCAGATGACATCACCTACCTTTCTGCAGTCTTTCCCCTGACTCGGGGACTGCCTGGCCTTGTCTGACTGGGCACGGTTTGTGAGTTCAAAGATCAATTGCTTAGCCTCTTTTTTATTTTTTATTTTTTTTTTGGGGGGGAGGGAGATTAGGGCAGCAATACTCAGATATTAGTGTACTGACACATTGCCAGAGGAGCTGGGTAAAAGTTCCCACCCATCGCTCCAAAACCCATGGAGAGGTGGGATTTGGAAGCCTTGGGTGGTGGGAATTGTTCACCAGCCACCCGAGGTGACACCGCTGCCAGGGGGGGTGCTGAGCAGGAAGACTGACAGCCCTGTGGAAAAGGAAATTGTGCTCACAAAGTAGGACCCCTTTTCTATAGAGGATTCAAGCCCTCTGCAGGAGAACACCGCGTCTGGAGTTCCACAACCGTGTCTGTGTGCGCGCCCACTCACACATGCACCTGTGACCATGTGACCCAGCAAGCGGTGGCCCTGCACATACCGGTTCCCAGGAGAGAATGACCCCTGCCACGAGGCAAGCCAAAATAATTTCCCTTGCAAACTCTGGCTTGGTAGCCCTATCCAGTGAGGAGTCCGATGGAAGCCGGAGCCCAGACCCAGGATGTGCTTCCCGTCACCGCCCACCACACAATTCCGATTCCTAAATAGGCTGAATGTGGCCCCTGCTCCCCTCAGGGCCAGACAGGCCACCAGAACCAGGAAGGAGAACTGCCTGTGCCCCAGCACATCTCCAGAGAGCTACTCCACTCTCCACAAGCCCCTCTAAATTTAGAAAGAGAACGATCGTTGGGTCCCGATCTATGTGAGTAACTAAGAGAGCAAGTCAGGTAGGAACCACCTCAACGCACAGCGGACGGGATGCACCCAAGGGACGTGGGAGCAGCCACCTCCCCGGGAAGATGGTCTCCGTGTCATCAGAAGCCACCGCTTGGACACAGAGCACATGCCCCGGCGACCGGGGCCTCCAGCCCAGGCCCTGCCAGCGGGGATCCCGGTGATTCACACCCGTAGCCCATCCATACCACACACACCCGCACAAACCCACGCCCTCCATCCTCTGCTTCTGCTTACATAACAGCACGTGGTGTGCCAGGCTGAACACTTTCTACGGGCTTCTGGAAAGGGACTGCTGCCTCCGAAGGAGTAAGGTCCGGAGAATGCTTTTCCTGGCTCCTTTTCAAGACAGCCCCTGAGCCCAAGCAAGTACCCATCTTTGAAATCCTGTGCTTATCATCTTGACTTTTAAAAAGGAATAAGCAGTAAGCGCGGCCTCTAACACCCTCCAAACCTCTCACATCTTTATTCCTGCCTGGTGCCCAGGGGCTGGAGGAGGTGAGGGGGAGCAGAGAACCTCCTGAATCCTCTTGCTCATTTCTGGATCCGACACAATGCGGGGCACTCCTTTATCCTAACGTGGTGGCCACGTATCCCACAATGTCCTTGTCTCACAAGCACATCCCATCCTCCGGGGGGGGGGGGCAGCACTGTCCCATTTTCCGCCTCCCCCCTCGCTTGCCCACAGGCTCCCCAAGTCGTCCTTCCGGGCACACCTAGTCAAGAGGGAGAGAGAGCACGTGTGCGTGTAACCCCGTAACCAGGTACGTGTCTGCAGACACAGTTCCCCATGGGCCCCCTTCCTTCCTTCCTGGGCATGTATGTCCCTGCAGGTCCGACCTCCTCCTTGCAGACCTGGGCCCCTCCGGGCCCCGCCGGCGGGCTCCCCTACGGAGCTGGTGCCCAGGGCTCCCCAGGCGAACTGCGGGCGGCAGGGGGAGTGGCTGCACAGGACGCCGCCGCTTTAGGGACAACTTTGCGGGTTTCTCCCAAGAAAACCAGGCGGCTCTGGGCGTGCACCCCCTCCGCTCCCCTCCCGCACACGCGCGCGCCGTTCTGTTGTTGTGCTGACCTCGGGGACCCCGCCTTCCCTCCTGTCCTCCCGGCACAGGGGAACGGGCAGCAGCTTCTCTCCAGCCCCAAAGGATGGGGTGACAGGAGAACACACCTCCAGGGGGCAGGGGGTACGGGGAGCGCACAGGTGACCCGCTCGGCGGCGGCGCCCCTCGGAGGGGAGGAGCGGGTGGCGCCCGCGCGGCTCCGGTCCCCGCGCCCCGGTCCCCGCCGCCTACCTGTAAGAGACCTGCTTCCGGAAAGTTAAGTTCCGCAGCTTCTCCTCCAGCGCCTCGTCCTTGTCTCTCGCGCCGGCGGCCGCGGGCTCCTCCGGGGCAGCGGCCCCCGCCGCGCCCGCCGCCGCGCCCCGCGGGTCCGCGCCGCCCTCGGCGCCCAGGCAGCCGCTCCCGGCGCCGCTTCCGCCGCCGCCCGGCGCCCCCTGCTCCTCGCCCGCCGCGGGGCTGGGGTTCATGGCGCCGCTCCGGCCGCCGCCGCGCAGGGAGGCAGGCGAGGCGGCCCCGCTGCCGCGGAGGCCGGGCCGGCGGGCGGCGCTGGCTGCGAGGGAGCGGGCAGGTCCGCGCGCCGCTGGCAGGGGCGGCAAATGGCAGCCCCTTCCCGCAGCATCCATCCGCCGCGGCCCCGCACCGGGGCATTGTGGGAAACTCCGTGCCTCCACTCCCCCGGCCTGGCCAATCAGAGGACGCCTCCCTCCGCCGCCCTCCACCGCCCCGCGCCCTCCCGGGTGCGCCCGAGCCCGCCAGCCCCCCGGACCTTCCCGAAACCGGGAGCGCCCGCTGGGGATGCACTTGAACTCCGCCCTGAGGCTGCAGGAGAGGGGATGGGGGAGGGGGAGGAGGGGCTGAGGGGCGCTGGGCGCGAACACGCGCGGCGGAGCAGGGAGCGCCGGAGGGAAACTCCTCGGACCGCGTGCCGCGCCCCGGTGCCTGCGCCCGGGGGCTGGGATCGGACCGGCGCGCTGCCCGCCCAGCTCTCCTCCCGGCCGGTGACCCCTGGCCCAGGCCCCGGGCAGCATTCTCTCCGCCACCGTTCTCCGGGGCCGCAGAGGCTACCGTAGGCGGGACAGGGACACCCTTGGAGCTCAGAGAAAGCGCGGCCGGTGGGAACCTGGGAGGAAATTCGTGCGCCCTGTAAAGTAAGAGGTGCGAGGAGGTCAAGTTCATGATCCGGGCGAAGCGCCCGCCTCCTCTCTCGGGGTGAGGGCTGTGGACCCTGTATGCCTGAACTCTCCAGCCCAGGGTCTTCCTTACACAGAGCCCGCTCTCCCTCAATTTGATGAGTCGGAGCACAGGTCCCTCTGTGAAGTAGAAAGAGAATCCGGGGGGGGGGGGGGCCAGAAGCGAGGGAGGACGCCGGCGCCGGGTGCTGGTGCCTCGGGAGGGGCTCCCCCAAGGAGGGGCTTCCAACCACTTGGGACCCCTCTTCGGAAACATCCCAAACTTTGCAGGATCTGCCCATTTCACGGCTCACCTCACCATGACCCTTTGTTTCTGGCACGATGGAAAACGCCATGGGGTTTGAATATGTGCTCCAAAGTGTGTGAGACAGAGACTTTTGCACATTAGAAGTTTCCACCCAAGAAATCTCAGCTGTCAACAAACACAAGAAAGTTCCATACTAAAGGCTGAGTGGAGTAACCAAAAGATATAGGTACATGGAGGCGAGGTAAGAGGATCAGGCCAGTGAAGAATTTCAGATCAGCGTTGTACAACCCCAGACAAGTTGCTGGATTTTTTCCCCTTTGTTTTCTTACGTCTAGAATTAGGGGATTGAACAAAACACCTCAAAACCCTCCCAATTCCCCACATTCTGTAATTATCCTCCGTATGGACATGATAAGCCAGAGGTGCCCTGGGCTCCATCTTCAGAGGGGACTGGGAGTACCAGGTGCTTCAGCAGTGATGTTAACTAAGACCCACACATATCCTGTGTATCCCTGAGACCACGGAAACCTCATCTTACGGGAATTACCTGACAGCTTCCCCGCTGCTCTCCATGCATTCTATAGTCGGTTCTCTAGCGCAACCCCCAAGATACTGCTGATGCCTTATCCTCTTCCAGAGACGTCCTATTGTCGCTAGAACAAAGTTCAAACAACTCCTTAACTGATCTCCGAGGTCACAGGAATGGACGATGTGCCAGCCCTGTCCACGTCCCCCCTTCCTACAGTCTTGCTGGTGCCACTGTGAACTGGACTCCTTACAAGCTTCAGAGAGTCCCTGCTCTCTCTGCTCTCATCACTCATGCCTAGGTCTGCTGTGTCCTCTTCCACCCTCCTCTCACTCCTGATATCACCTCGCTAACTAGTACATTTCCATCAGATCAAATGTTAATGTACATGTTTCCCCTCCCCCATTAGAAACCTGCATTGATCTTCGGGACAGTGATGGGTGAGCCGAGAACAGGCCGCCCTTGCACTACTATGACACTAAACTTTAGCCACTGCAACTGTGAGTCACTTGTCTGTCTCTCCCCTATGTGCATGGAGGCTACGTGTTGTTTATCACAATGTCCCCCAGGAATTAGCATCATAATTGTGCACATTATAGGCCATTATAAAGGGTTTATTGACTTAGGAAAGAAATATAAATGGCTTTGAGTATATAAACATATACTCAAATTCACTTAGTTCAAAAGAAATTCAATTTTAAGCTAGAATAAGATGTCATTAAAAAAAAATAAGTTTGATAATAGATGCTCATGTGATGGGGTAGGAAAACCAACAGTGGCTCAAATGGTTGGCATTGTTTGGTACAGTCTCTCTGCTGTGAAGTTTGGCAATATATATCAATATTTGAAATTTGCAACCGAATTAGCCTAGCCATTCTGCTTCCAGGAATTTGTCCTCTGATATCCTTGTAGATATACACAAAATATTGAAGACTGAAAACAACCTAAATGTTTGTTAATATACAATCAATTAGCTAAATTATTATTAGTTCAAACAAAGGAATTCTCTGCAGCCTTTAAGAGAATAAGGTAGATTGATACATGTTAGTATAAAACAATTTCAGAAATGTTAACTGGAAGAGAAAAACTGGATTCAGCATATTTAGTATGCTACCATTTATAGAAAAAAGGAGGGTGGCTATAAATATAATATTTAAAAAAAAAAATACTTAAGAAAACAGTGATTCTCCAACAGAGTTAAGTGGCCAGAGCTAGAATCTTGAGTTTTTGCCTGATTAAATCAATACATACCAACAGGAGACAGAATGTCTCCCAGCCTCATAGGAAAGCCAGTTGGACCAATCAGGTGTGTGTTTGCATATTTAGAGTGCACCAACAAAAAAATCAACTAAACAAAAGAAAACTGGGTAAAAAAGAAATGACCATTTTGAAGATACACCTGAATTTAAAACAGAGAGGAGACCCTACAACTGAGAATCACAATTCCAGCCTAAGTCATACAAATTTTTGCATTGAGTGGCCTTCTGAAAAGTTACTTAAAATATCATTTGTCCTTTTAGACATTTTTTTGTTTTTGTTTTTCAATGGTCACTAAGCAACCTTGTAATTATTTATTCAACTTCTTAGTTACCTTGACTGTAAAAAGTGGACTCCTTTTTAAATGGGTCAGAAGAAGCATTCCAATTATAGGAAAAGAAATTGACAGTCAGGTTTAAAATGCAACTCAGCCCTAGCCGGTTTGGCTCAGTGGATAGAGCATGGACCTGCAGACTGGAAGGTCCTGGGTTTGATTCAGTTCCAGGGCATGTACCTTGGTTGCAGGCTCAGTCCCCCACAGGGGCCGTGCAGGAAGCAGCAGATTGATGATGTTCCTCTCTCATGGATGTTTCTATTTCTCTATCCCTCTCTCTTCCTTTCTCTCTAAAAATCAATAAAAACATAATTTTTTTAAATGTATCTCAAATGATTTTCAGTAACCTGAACAAGGAAATGAGCTTCCCTGGGTATCTTGAAACATCCCACCTCTAATCCCAGACCTCACCTTCATCACTGGACCCAAAGCCATGCCCAATTAGTTGGGCTTCTTATCTCATCTTTCTATTATCAATTACTGTTCATTCTAAAATAAGTATTATCCCAGTCTTAAATACTAAATGTGAGTGTCCTAAATTCTAAGTCTAATCAAAAAAATATTTCAAGCATGAAATTTTAAAGAAATCAGACATTTTTTAGATTTAGATAAGACTGCAAAATCATTAATAAAGAGAACATTGTGTCTAACATTTTTTAAATGTACATAGCTATCAGGAATTTTTAGGGAATAACACAGAATCATGTTTTTGTTATTTTAAAACAAATAACATAAACCAAACACACACTTTTAGGGTGTCAGCTATTTATAGACCAACTTAAGGGTAATAGAGCTTATGGAAATATTGTCACTGAAGGGAAATTTTCAGATTGAGCTTAATCCTGCCTCCCAACCTTTCTACTTGCTACTTTTGCCACCTGGAACACTCTACCTCAGAGGTTCCCAAACTTTTTCACTTCACAGAACCCTCAGTAATTATTTTTCCTCTGACCTGTAGGCCAAAAGAAGAACCTAATATTTATATTTACTAGGTAGTTCAGTGCTAACAGTTTAATAACTATTTATGTTTCATCAACTTTAGTAGCTGTTCTAAAAATCATAAAATACATAAATTGACAGAAAAAAACAATGTTTGTATTTCATTCTTAAATAGCCACAATTTCTTAATAACAAGATAGCAATGGGCATGGCATAACTTCTCCAACCTTGGGATCGTGTTAGACCCTGCCACCCTCTTTTCCTGTTCCACACGGAATTTCACATGGTATGGCTTTTTATAAGAGCAACCACTGCAAACCCAGCTTTGCCAAAATGATGATGTCACGAAAGAATGTGGAGTGATCCAATGCTGAAACTGTCAACATTCAACTATTAGTTTGCATGGTGTTTAACAGATGTGGCATGTCCCTGCATTTCCCTCAAATTTTTCAAATATCCTGCAGTGCCCCTTGAATTCATTGCAGAGACGGAACACCCTCCCACACACACACACACACACACAGTTCAGGAACAGTGATTCAAACCCCCAAAACATTTAATGGTGTTTGTTTTTGTGTGATTCCCTAGAAAACAGATCCTGAGGCACAGTTTATAAGCCAAGACTTCACGGGAAATTGAAATCCCAGAACTTTTTAAAGGGAAAAGAGAAGACCAAAAAAAAAAAAAAAAAAAAAAAAGGAAAAATAAGTTCAAGGTTGTGAGTTATGAGATGGCTGCACCCCAACAAATAAACATACCTGGTGGCTTGGGCACCAGAACTTCCTCCAAACAGAACTGACATCATCATCTCCTCTATGGTGTCCCATTTCATCTACGATGCATTCTGCCACTTTCTTCCTGTGTCTGTCTCTCACTGGTTGAAGTTTGTCCCTTAAAGAATTAACTCACCCTGACTTCTAGGTTGTATTACTGGCTTTGAGGCAGCCTCTGGGGAACCCAGATCTCTGCCCCACCGCAGGCCTCCTTGTCCCTTTCTAGAAGTGATGAGAGGAACCTCTAAAGACAGAGGCTGCTTGGACCTGCTCACTAAGGCTCCTGCCAATGAAGTCTCCTTGAAGGCTGTGCAGGAGTCCAGCCCTCCTTTTCAGAGGCTGAGAGAACTGTCTAAA